CTAGCCAATACCTGGCACCCATGGACCCAGCCTTTAGGCCAGCCCCTGCAAATACCAACTCCAGGCTCACCCAGCACCAGGCCAACCCTTGCAGCCCCAGGCTCCAGCAGCCCCCAGACCCTTACAGCTTTCTGACCAACCCAGAATCAGGTAAGACCACACAGCCCTAGGGTTCAAGCCTACCCCAGTGCCAGGTTGGCACCCTGCCTCAGGCACCAGGCAAGTACCCTTGGACACAGGCTCCAGTCTCCAGCCTGGTGTCAGACTGGCCCCTGCAGCCCCACACTCCAACAAACCCAGGGCTCAGGACCATCCCAGAAGACTCCAGTACAGGGAAGTCCACACAAACCCAGGCTCCAGGCCAGCACCCATAATTCCAGGCTGCAGACCAGCCCTCAAAGAGCCAGGCACCATGCCTGTCCTAGCACTAAGCCAGATCCAGGCTCCAGGCTAGTCACTGTGGTCCCAGACTTTAATGGACTCAGTGTCCAGGCCACTCCAGCAGACCCAGTTCCAGGTCAGTCCCTGTGGACCCAGGCTTTAGGACAGCCTTGGTGGATACAGGCTCCAGGCTCAATCTCACAAACTCAGACTCCAGGGCCATTTCTACATAATTAATAGGTCCACCCCAGTGGAGCCAGGCTCTAGGACCAAACACATGGACTAGGCACCAGGCCCAGCTACCTAAGCACCAGGACTGACTACCTGAGGACTCCAGCAGAAGCACACACACAGACCATGCCAGACAGCCTGCCTAGAATCTCTAAACAAGCCAACTGGTGGAAGGCTTTCCCAGACAAAGCCAAAGACTGGAATAAGTCTCTACTTCTTCAAATGTACAGATACTAACACACAGCCACAAGGATAAAGAACAATAAGGAAAAGATAAATTAATCCAGGGAACATTATAATAAATGAAATAAGCCAGGCACACAGAGACAAATACCGCATGATCTCACTTATATGGGGAATCTAAAAAAGGTGAACTCATAGAAGCAGAGTAGAATGGTGGTTACCAGAGGCTGGAGGGATGGGGGTTGGGAGATATTATTCAAAGGAAACAAAACTTCAGTTTCATAGAAGGAATAAGTTCAATATGGTGACTATAGTTAATAAAAATATACTGTTACTTGAAAATTGTTGAGTATAGATTTTATGTGTTCTCACCACACACAAAAGAATAGTAAGTATGTTAGTTAGATTTAGCCATTCTACAATGTATACATATTTCAAAACATGTTATACATGATAAATACATAGAATTTTTATTTGTCAATTTAAAAAATAAATTAAAATGCTAAAAAAAAAAAAACAATTAGGGAAACATGACACCACTAAAGGACCAAAATAAAATAGAAACAA